AGAGCCCTGGGTCGGTCAGCGCGTAGCCGGGAAATTGTTTGGACGTGCCATACTCGCTGTTCTTCTGGATCTCCTCAGTGGTCACCGGGGCCTTTGCAGCATATTTGGCATTCTTGGGGGTCGCCCGCCCAAGCTTCTTGTTCACGATGCGGAGGCGTCGGGCCAATTGGTCGCGGTAGGTGTTGTAGTCGCCGATGAGAAAGGCCGATTCGCGGTAGGCGGTGACAAACTTGGTGATGTCCATGGCGGCGTCGTTGGGGAGAGACGATGTAGTGGTGGGGATGCGGCTGATGTGGAGGGGCATCAATTGGCGAGCTGTCCCTCAGCCTTGCCAAGCCAATCGGAACATCAGATCATAGCGCGCCCGTAAACTTTTCGACATACTATCATAGACACTGGGCTCGCCATTGCCACGCGCACAGTCTGCCTCTCCCTTTATTTGTGACTATACCTGTGCCTGTACCATAGTTTCTTGTACCTCTCCGGCGTCCTCTCCTGTACATCACTGTCTTTGCCTGGTTCTCGCGAAACTGGTTCTGTTACCGCTGTCGCTCAGTTTTCGTAGGCATGCACATATGTGAGCAAACTCCGACACTCCATACCATTCGTCCCCGCACTGAAAAGTCTAACTAGACCAGCTTATATCATCCTCCAAGTTTCTCGGTAATTTGTGCTGGCATCATCTACACTCCCACACGCCCGGGTGATGCTCGAGCGTGCTTCGACATGCTTCGAATCCGGCGGACGCCAGTTATTCCGCGCTCCGAAGCCATGTCTACGCAATCGGCGCATGCTGCATTCCGGCATCTGGTACCACGGTGCAGGCAGTCTCAATCTGCAGGTTTCGGAAGCCGCATCTTCGACACTGATCAAACACACAAATGATGATGTTGACAATGGAGTCACGAAAGACCCACTCTCCTCGAACGCCAGAATCAGCGATTGTACAGTCCTTGATTTTCTGTATCCCGAGAAGACGCTTGATTTGCTCAGGAATCTCTCCCTGAAAAGACATAAAACCACGGATACCAAACGACGGTCCCTGCAGGCGGTCCGCCATTTCGCTACACTTCGACAACAAACACTACCTGATGGAGGAAACATAGGCATAGATATCATGGAACAGGCCCGTGATGAGGCACAAAGACTAGTTAGACGATCCGATGCTGTCACGGAGCTAAAGGCACTGTTAAGCTCGCAGAAGCGTGGAAAACAGGAACTGGCATGGCAGTTATACACTTTGATTCCAGAAGACCAAGCAGCGACACAACATGAATTACGTCGCAATCTCCTAGAATACCTTGTACAAGATGGTGGGCCAGCATTGCCTGGCCGTGTGCTCCAGGTTTTTTCCGAGCTTCCACCAGCCGCTCGCAAGCCGTCTTCGTACCGAGCGGCAATAACAGCGTACATCGGACTCAGAATGATTGGCCCTGCCATCAAGTCGCTTGAGGACATCGACCCCTCCATGGATTTCAACATGATACGTGTCGGCATAGATGTCATTCTTCAACGAACAGTGTCTGACGAGCAATGGGATCTTAGCTTTCGTGTTTTCAGGTTGTTCCTACGACGAACTATACGGGTGCGTGGGATACCTCTATATCCGGCGATTCTTCACGGAGCAACGCTTCCAGAAATCTGGCGCGGCGTAGCTCAATTGCCGGAACTGCTAGAGCACTATCAATCTTTTTTCAGGCATGTGCGGGAATTCCACCATGAACTCACGGCATCTCCAGAGTTGAAAAGAGATTTGACTTGCTTTGTCACAACTTTCGTTTCGCACGTAATGGATCGGGTTCTGGATACGAGAGACCCCGACGAAGATTTCATCTGGAACTTCTTCATCAGGCTTTTTGATGATCTTCATTCGCTGAATCTCCCAACTTCGGCCTGCTACGAATATGCTATTGAACGGATGCTCCAGTTGCCTCGGTATCAAGCATACACCAACCAGAGGAAGATTTGGCTCGAATTGTACAGAAGGTATCGAAGCCATTATATTGACACTCCTAACGCTACTTCTAAACTAAGACCGTCGCAAAACCTAATCAGAAATCTGATTTACCAACACAGCTTGATGGGCGGGTGGCAGCGTGTTGAGGATCATATCCAAGATCTGCGCACATTTTATCCTGGGCGACCACTACAACCCGGGTTGCTCAAACACCTAATCCAAGCATATGCGATTGTTGGAAATGCAGAGAAGGTGCATGAGTACATTGACGAGCTCCGGACAAACTACAAGGATGAAGTTCAACTGGAGGTTCTGTCTGCGCTTCCCTATGTCTATGCTCGACGGGCAGACGTCGAAGGAACGATAAAACAGTTCAATCGCATACATACTGAGTACAATTTGATCCCAGACATCACATGTTGGAACATTCTGCTGCTTGCGTATGTTCGTGCAGACGATCTTGATGGCGCCCTGGAGTGCTTCAACAACTGCATCAACTGCGGCTTTGTACCCGATGTAAAAACATTCGGGCCTCTACTCGACTTTTGTGCGCACAGAGGCGATGTCGAGGCTTTCGAGACATTGTTCTCACGCGCAAAACAAATGGGAGTGCAACTCGACTCGGACGTGCGCGCAAGATCAGGCTACGTGCAGGCGTTCTTGAATTCAGGTGATCCGGAAGGAGCTGAGGCCATTGCTCAAGGCATGCTTGCGAGCTGGAATGCTGGAACCCTCCACGGCCATCCTCTCACCCACACCTGGAATCTATTGATTCAGCAGTATGCCCTCAATCGTGACCTTCCAGGGAGCAGACAGCGCTATAAGCAGATGGTCGACAACAACATTCCTCTGGACAGCTGGACATATGGCAGCTTGATGCGAGCACTGATAGAAGTGAAGCAGACGAACGCGGCTTACAAGGTTTTGAGGATTACAATGCCCAAACAGGGGATGCGAGTCCATGCACTTCATTACGCAATTGTTATGACCGGCTTCCTGAGAGAAGGTCAGATCGAACAGGCGATCGAGGCTTACGATAGAATGATGCAGCGCAAGGTTCCTCAAACTGAGAGCTCCCGCGCAGCTTCAATACGTGCGCTGGGTGCGGCTGATCTTCAAAAGCTGGAAAAGAGGGGTGCCAAACATCCAAACTACCGGCTGCTTGCGGTGGAAGAAGCTCTTGAGAAAATGCTCGCCTCGAGCATGAGCGAGGAGATTGCTCATCAGCAGCCTACACACGAGCGATTGATCGACTCGCACAACTATGGCGCTATTCCACAGTCATATTTTGGTCTGATGATTGGGCTATACAACGCTCGGTCAGCATACAGGGTTTGCAAGAAGCTTTTTGAGCGGGCCCAGCAATTAGCCCCAAATTACGAGGGCTATACTCAGCCTATTACACTTATCACGGCAATGATGGAAACGTATCTGAAAGCAGGCAACCATGAAGAATTAGCCAAGCTTTGGGAGTTGACTCGCTCTTCAGCAAGCAAACTCACTAAGACATTCAGCCAAGCTGCGCAGCAACCGGTCCAAGACCTTGAGGATAGCTCTCTGCTCGACCCTTCAGTCCACCGCCGTTACCAAGAGTCTAACATTGCCAACAATCGTCGCCAAATACTTGTCAATCCGGCTCGCATCTTTCTTCGTAGCCTAATGGCACAGAATGACAGCAACGCTATGCAAGAGGCACAACGTACTATCATCGGCCTCCTTGCTAACGGCTTCACGGTCGATGGCTTTACCTGGAACGAGTTCGTCCAGCAACTCACTCTTCGCAACCAGCTTGTCGATGCCTTTGCAATCTGTGAAGAATTCCTCATGCCCCGTTTTCCTGGCTGGCGTGACCTCTATCCTGGCTACCAACGCAAAAACCTTAAGGGTTACCAGTGGATGGAGATCCGCCCCTACGACCTTAAGAAGAACAGCGTGTTGCCCCGGTACAAGACTCTGGTCTTGCTTGCAAAGGCATATGGCCAAACGAGGCGCGACGAGAGCAATGGTATTGGATATGATGTTGAGGCACAGGCTTGGCTGCGGGAAATCCTGGAGCAGCGTGCGCCGATGACGATCAGGGCTATCGAGACGATGCCCAGGACGTATGATCGTTTGCAGGAGAGGTACTTCAACAATGTGCTGTAGACTGTGTCTACTGTCGCGCTTGGATCATGGCATCGTATGGCTATGCCAGGATGCTCTGTATTTGGACATATATTATACATAATACTTATGAAATAAATGAACACCTTCTCCATTCAAGAATCGCTTGTTTGTATTCTGTAATTGTGACTATTGCTCTTTCTATCGCTTCTTCACGTCAGCAAAAAGCCGCTATCGTCGAATTCTCTTTTCAAAAGCTTACCTCCGCCCCAAAACAAACCGTCCCGTTTCCCAAGACTTTACTCTTCGCCCACATACTTCCCAGCCCCCAGGCTAGCCCGAAAACGTAACCACTTCTCTCCAGCCTCACAGCAGAGCCGCACCGCACTGATCTCACCGATAAATCGAAAACCAAGCCTATCTAGTCACTACATACTTTAACTGCAACTACCTTACGCGTCATGTCCCGCTTCGATATACCTCGTGACACAAGAAAGGGCACGCTTGATTGGTGTCCAATGCAGCTGAGGTTACGGGGGTAAGCGAGAAAGGGCACCGCTTGGCGGCTTGGAAGGGCGGTATGCGTGCCCCTTTTGAGGCTGAGCGAGGCGGGGCATGGGGTGATGGATGAACGAGAGGAGGCGTATGCGTGGCAGAGTGGAAATTGGTAGTGTGTAAGGCTGGGCTGTTTGCGTTGTGCTTTGGGTTGGGTTTACGTTGGTGATGTAGATGGGTTTCGGGGAAGGAGAAACACGGTTGGGGGGTTGGAAAGCATGCACGCAATATAGTGATTTGTTGTGTGAATGTAGAACGAATGTATGTTTGAGAGCTATGTGTATGAGATAAAGCAAGCGAATTTGACATATCTTTTGTGGGTACATGCTTGTCGAGGGATGGTAAGGAGTGCGGTAAAAGTGTTTCGTCTGATACAAAGAAAGTTCTATCCAGCCATTTCATCCTCCGCGTCTGAGAACTCCTTCCAATCTGGTATACCTTCGAAGAAACCTTCTAAACTAAACTCAGGGCCGTTTTCAGAGTCCAGTTGCAAATCCATATCGTGCAAATGACCAACGTCTAGAGCCATCGGAATGTTGGTGGTTTTCGTAGGAGTTGTTAGCGATTTGACTTCGTTGTCTATGGCGCCGTGGGACAACAGAAGGTCTACTATTTCTTGGCGTGAATTGAATCTAGCCCTTTCCAGTAGTGTCCGATTCCGACGGTCCTTGAGATTGACATCGATCTTAGGGTGCTGGAGCAGTAGTTTTACTACTTCGATGTGACCATGGCCTGCCGCTTTCGCTAGTAGGTTAGAACGATACCCAATGTGTCGGTTGACATCGATCTCTTCGTGTGCCAATAAGACTGCCATAACTTCATCGTCTTGCCTTTTTGCAGCGTATTGAAGGAGACTTCTTTTCCGCTGTCCAGGTCTAACTGAAATTGGACCACGAAAACCAGCGTGATTGAGAAGTTCAGAGACTACGTCCTTCTTGATGAACTCCCCATTCTCTGGTGGCCTATTTATTGAATCGCGGTGGCTCGTGGAAGAAGTGTATCGAAGGAGCAAGTGGACTGCTTCCCAGTGTCCTGTGAATGCTGCATGATGCAAAGGCGTGTACCCTTCCCCGTCTCGACGGGAAACATCATTGTTATCGCTGCTCAGTAACTGCTCGAAAACCTCGATGTTTCCATACTGGGCGGCAATGTGAATTGCCATCAGCTCTTTCCCCCTCGTGCCTGAACTGATGTCAATTCTATCAGAGGCAAGCATGAGACTCATGACCTTTGCATTACCCCATCGAGCCGCATGGTGTATGGGTGCATATCCATGTTCATCCTTGCGGTTTACATCGATATCAGGATGTACTAGCAGGGCCGCCAACAGCGTATCGTTGTTCGCGCGTAGTGCACTATGAAATATCCAACCCACATCGGCGGCCGTGGATTCCGTTCCCTGATTTTCCATATACCACTCCAATATATCGATATTCCTAGTCTCCGCGACACATATACGTGTGACATCATCTGAGCATGGGCGATAGCCTTCCGATTTGTGCTGAAACAAGGCTTTCACTACGTCTAAATTGCCGCTTAGGATGGCCTCATGTAGTGGTCGTCGGCGCTTATCGTTGAACGTTTCGCAACTAGCACCTTTGTCGAGCAAGTACTGAACCGTTCTTTCCTGACCGCTTCTGGCAGCGCAGTGTAGTGCAGTTGATTGGTCTTCTGCTCTCGTATCCGTGGTGAATCCAAAGTCCATCAATAACTCCAAAGTAGGAATATCCCCAGAGGTTGCAGCTCGCATGAAAACAGAAACACTGTAAATTCCATTTGAAGAGCCAAGAGGTTCAGTTGTCTCTTCAATTTGTGAGAATGAACCCTCTTCTGTGGCTTCTTTAATTGAGGAGATATATGCGGTCTCAGCAGGTAGTAGAGCATCGACATGGAATTTCCTTTTATGCCTCTTGAGGTGGTCCTTTCGATTCGATTTAAACTGGCATAGATCGACACGGCAGTAGTATTGTTCATTTCCAACACGGTGGCGGGCTTTAACATGTCTTTCCAGATCTGAACGAAGAGCAAACCCGCTTGGACATTCTCCGCATCGAAACGGCTTTGAATGCGTTTTCAGGTGCCGACTCCGATGTGTCAGCATGAAGACATATAACTCAAATCAATAACTTACTTGAAGTTTTTCAAAGTGGCGCTCAATTTCGAACAAACATCGCATTTAAAGATCTCCGAAGTCATGGTTAAAGGTTGGAGTCAAATTGTTGAATGATGGGTGTAATTCTGTAAAGTTGGTAGACACATGAATACAGCCAGTCCCAGCCTTCCCTGGAATAGCTGACAGGGTGCGTTCAGGCTGGGATGAAGGGCACGGAACGTGTGCCTTGTGATTGGACGCCACTCGTTTCATGGCGGGGCACTTGGAAATGATACCCATGCCCGTTGGACTGGGTGGTTGTGTTTCTGTTCTTTTCTTCGTTCACCGCCCTCTATCAGCCACATCTTCCTCCTCCTCCCCCTCCTCTCTCTCTCTCTCTCACACACACACACATACACTCACAGAATACAACTTGAGCTTCACCCTACATCTGAATCAAGGACTGGGATTTCGTTACCATTCTTCTCTGAAAAGACGCGAAACAAAGATCCGTTCGGTTTGCAACATGCAAAATCCACTTTTCGACTCCCCTCAACCTCTCCAAGGACGAAATAGTGAGCGTAGCAGTCGTTCGAAACTCATCGTTGGTAGCGGCGATGATGATGGAATCCAATTCGGGTAAGTTTTTTTTAACATAATGCAGGTATGCCCCCCAGGACCGCGCGAATATTACTTTTCGGTTCCAACAAGGGCCAACGCCCCACTTTTGGAACAACAACTGCAGCGACCATTCCCCCATACCTGGCAACAGTCAACAGGGGTATCCTTCCTCCACTATAGCACTTGGCAGTAACCGTTTGGGTCTCGAGCCGCAGCATGGGTCCATTCAGGGCCAGTATGCATACCCAATTCCTACTGCTATTCTTGACGATGGTCCTCTGGATTTGGGATATGGAGAACTGCAACCTGGACTCAATCAGGACCAGGATGAGTACCTACTTCCCACCACCCTTCCTGGCGTTGGCCTTTCGGATCTGGCATTCGTGGAACAGCTGCCTGGATTCGCTTTGAACCAACATGAGCAGCCACTTCCCACCACCGTTCCTGATATGGATCTTCTGGATTTGGGATATGGAGGACCGCAGCCTGGACTCGATTACAACCAAACAGAATTGTTTGGAAGCATGCCGAGCCTCGTTCATGGTTTCGAGCCCACGTCCGTTGGCATGCCTACAGCTGTGTTCGACATCAACGAAGCTCCACCCAACCCAGCACTTCACCCAGCCATTACCTTAGCCCCTCTTGGTGGCGTGAATCCCACCGCCAACAACAACCGTATCTCCTGTCGTATCGGACGGTGCGCTGTCACCTTTGGGCGCATAGGAGAACGAAACCGACACGAGAAGAAGCATCAGTCTCCAAAGTACAGATGCGTCTTCTCGGATTGCGACAAGACCTTCTACCGCGCCGATAAGTTGCGCGATCATCTCAGACAAGGCCACAAAGATGCTGACCCTCTCCTCAATCAGTATATTGGACATTCAGGATGATGCTCCTATGAATACCACTCATTCAACCTCATCTATCCGGATAGCAGCTACTTTGTGTCATTTGTCTTTGTGCTCCCTGCATTCTCCTTTCTCACAACCACAGCCTTTGCAGCTTATCTCTATTCTCCCGTTTTTCTTTACCTACACATATCCGTCCGTAGTCAATAAACTTAGTAGTCGCTTGTTACGATACGTGCACACCGTGATGCGTTTCCTTGGGCTCGTCGCCAACAGCCTTCCCACTCACAAAAATCCACACATTCTCACCTGAGCCTCATTGCTATCATGCAAATGCGGTCAAAGTCCCATAGACTGGACTAGCCCTCGATTACAGAGCCAAAGGGCACGCCCACCCTAGCAATGTCTGCAAGGCTGAGACTACGATAGTCCTCCATATGCAGCCACGCCGTGCCCTTCACATAAAAGGGGGCACGTTAGTCCAATGGAAACAGCCAAGAGACATCGAGCGCGCATACCGCAGCTGCACGGTGAGGTGGCAGGGCACGGTGGCTTGGACCCGTGAAGCCCATCGCCTATTGGTACTACTACCACGAGCGGCTCTCAGGGTCCCAACGCGACACGAACTGCGTTATCAGATGATTGCTTTCACCGATACACAGATGAATGACGGGATCGTGAGTGAGAATGGTAGGAAGGACATGAGGCTCTGCGATACGAGCTGAATGCGAGCTGAGACGGGACATACCCGACTAGTCCCGAAGAGGGACTATGACATCATTCAAGGTCCTGTTAGTCTGGCCGACTTCTTTTGCTGATTTCAGCGCAGACTCTGGTTGTGCGCCTCGTGAATAGGATTTTTTCTTGTTGATTTTGAGCCTGCCTGACGCGTGTAGTTTTCATTGGTGACGCTACTGAGCTGAGAATTCCACCGCGCGGATCGAACGATACCCTACTACATAGGTATTTGGCTTAGGCCCATCCCCGCCGTGGAACGCTCAGCTCATCTCAACATTATTTGAGATCAACTCTACCGCGTCTTTGAATTTAGCAGTGCATCAGAAGGTATATAACACCTATGTATATGAATAAAGAGCTTAGTTTCATAATTGTAGTGGCAGTCGAACCCACATCAACCCGTTACAATGTGGGATATTCTACAGGCTGTTTTCATGCGCGTGTTCAGTACCGTTACATCACCTAGTTTGACTGTTTGTGAAGTTGTCTTTTATAGCACGTTATCTTCTCGTGGCAGCAGGTGTTGTGTTCAGTGCAGCATGGGGGGTTGATATCACCATATCACTTACTGCACTAATATCAACACTACGGAGGTAAAGGTAGCCCGTCTTCTCCAATGTAAGACTCATGGCTCGGGACTATGTACATCCGTTCAAGATATGTTTGACTACACTATCACGCTGTAGCCATCTTGATGTGAAGAAATGATAGTCAGGCACTGCAGTATACACTGGAGAAAAAGGTAACAAACAAGGCCATTCCTCGGCTAGGGCCCATGGACATCTGTAAAGTGATATATTCAACTCCCATGCGCATGCGCTGCAGTATTACTTGCTCGCCCAATAACACGCCATCCACCATACCGTCAAGAGCCACCAAACTCTGGAGATGGGTATCTGATCCAGCGCTAGCATGTGAGCTAATACGCATGAGAGCGAACCGTGAAGAAATAACTCGCGAGAATGAAGATTACCAGCGATAGGTACAGGAGCTCAAGAGCCGGCTAGATGCCATGGGCGACGCAGTAGTCCATGTTCAAAGTCCAGAATACATCAAGTGAACCAAATGCCTCATAAGAGCAGACCGATTCTGCGTTACTCATGGTCGTAGCGAAGGGGGCTCTGTATATGGAGTTTGCAGCCCAAAAAGAGAGTTTCAGACTTCCAGATGTACCTGTTAGTTATGATTTTAATGACATGGGTAAGAGATAATTCGAACCAGCCCTGGATTTAGCTAATGAATATAGACAATTTCGTTGCGTTGTAAGAAGGTTGCAGAATCGCCGCGAACGCTGCTGAGCGATCTTGTGTTAATCAAGAGGTATTCCGTTATATGGTAAGTGGCGTTTAAAGAAATATGTGTTTGGGAAAGTGATATGGCTAACAATACACAGCTAGCTCGGAGAGCCCAGTAGCCAGTGCCAGTACCGCCTCCTCAGTTAGCGCCTATCCCGCCTCAACAGCCATTACCTGTCCCACCCAAGCAGGCAGTCCCAGCTGTAGATCAAGAATAGCCTGACCACCAAAGTTCCTAGTACTTCCAGTTCCTTGGGTAGCTAGAAGTAGCGGTACAGTAGATTCACCTCGTGCAGGAGTTCATGGGTCTTTGGTCAGTATATGGAATGGAGACGGGATGGAAGAGACTTGTACGGAGCGTCTATATGGTGCTCGAATATCGGGTGTAGTCCTGGTTAGATTAGATTGAAACGATGCTCACTGAAGCAGCCATAGCACATGGCTGTGGACTGAAAGGAACTTCAAGCCACATGGTGTATTATGGGGTTCAAGAACGATACCAGCATGTTTCTGGTTTTTGCCGTGACTAAAAAGAACTACCTGTGACATCATCACTGGATCACTGTGGAGGCTAGGACTTGCGGTTCATTTCATCCACCCCTACCTTGAACGCATGAGCCATTGCTGCCATAGTGTCCCGAGCCTCAGTCACTTCTTCCAACTCATTCTGTTTGATAGCCAGGACCTCCAAAAACTTTCTCATAATATTTATCGAGGTTGCCATGTGACTGTCCAGGCATTGCGCGAGGTCTTTAATGCCCTCCCCAAGCATCGAAATTTCTTCCTCTTGGCTAGCGATCATGACCTGGGACTCTCGGAGCATGTTGGATGTCTGTGTACACTCCTCGAGCGAGGGCAGCTGTTCGATGTATGCAGTGTAATTCTGCAGCATGTCTGACTCGGCTAGACGCTCTTCTTCCGAGACTCTTATACGTTCGCTCAACGTCTCCTTGTCATGCAATGCGTCTTCAAGAACCTCTGCATTGAACTGCAGTCGCTCACGAACATGTGCAAGCTCTCTGCCAGCCTCAAGAAGCTTTTTCGTCGAAGCTTCGCTTTGCTGGTAGACTGCATCGTATACTACACGGTCAACCATGTCCCTAATCTTCTGCTCAAGGTCATTCCGCTTATCACTGATATCTTTGCACATCTCTTGTGACCTCTGTATTTTGTCACTTGCCCTCTCTACTTGAGAACGATGAACCATCTCCCTGGATTGAAGTTCGAGAGACTGGCATTTGCTCTCCAGCTCTGCAACGCGAGCGCTAAGGTTACCTTTGGCTTCGACAACGGCGTCAAACTCCGGGCGGCCGACCTTTTCTGCCAGGGCATCGGCGAGCTTTTGCATTTCTCCCTCCTTCGCTTCAAGGCACCGCTTTGTCTCGTTCGCGAGCTGTATGGTCGTTTCGTACTGCCCAGTCATTTCAGACATCTGCTTTGTAAGACTTTCTACATTATTTTAGGAATCTAGTTATTGATGAATTGTGCTTCAGTATGGAAGCGTAGCGCCCTGTTGTCGGCTTGAAGCATCCCGTTTTGGGGTTGCAGTGCCTTGTTCTCGGCGGGAAGTGACTCAGTCCGGGGGTGCAGCGCCTTTCCCTCTAAGAGTAGGGCTTCATTACGCGTTCGGAGGGCCTCGTTGTCAGTACAGAGTGTTTCGTATTTGATCCATAGTGCATTATGTTTGGCGCGAAGGACTTCATGCTCTGTACGCATTGCTTGCATCTCTTTGGAGGAGGTATCTCTCAAGACTTGTCTTGCCGAGACAGTGCGGTCAAGGTCTGCTTGTATGCCGGCATTTTCGATTGCTGCTTGCTGTGCAAGGTCAATATCTGCGTTGAGCAGTAGACACCGCTACTCCGTGGCAACCAAGCTCGGTGTTTCTGTAAAGAGCGTTTCGTCAAACGTCTGGGAGGTGACGTTCTTCGCAGTGATAGCGAGGCTCTGGCTGATGGCACCCACCCTCGTCTGCACTCGCCCGTCGTGACTGAACTTGAAATGCCAACCAGCTTCCCAAGACCTCTTCACGCTGTCTGCCTCTTTTCCTCGAATATCGAATGTATCTTCGGTCGTACGCTTGGCAATTTCATTGGTAAGAATTGACTTCACCTTTACGGCTATTTCATCCTTCACCGGTGCTGTGACCTCGGCCGCGGCATAGTGCGTCTTATCGACTGCTGTGCTAAGCTTCTCTCTCTTACTTTTCAAGTCTTGTTTCATTTTGTCTCCGGTCTGCATTTCACTGTACATGCCTGCGAAAGTAGAAATACTGCCAGAATTGTGCTTATAGGAGAAGCGGGACTATTGGAAGTTTCCCGAATCCATCTTCGGAATCGTTAAGTGGATTCGTTCGTGAAGGAAAGTAAAGGCTGATGTAAGAGAGACTGGTTTAGTCTGATTGTTTCAAAGAGAACAGAATTGGGGATTGTAATGAATTGGAGATGAGTTCAGGGGTTGAAAAGAGGGGCATGGTGATGGTGTTGTGAGTGAGCGCGTCCTCTACCAAATTGAGCAGGAGCGGACTCGATGTCAAGCTCACGGTACAACAATAGTCCATTTGCCAAGAATTTTACATTTTCGTCGTTATTACCTGTTTGGAAAAGTTTTAGTGTTTTCGGATCATTGAGAGCAATGAAGTACACGATGAACACCAGAACACTAAGTATGTGATTCATCAATACTTCAAACCCGGGAATGCGATACGGAGTCTCACCAAACCCGTAAACAAGCAAACCCAATGTAGTGGCAGCATCATCCTATTAAACCAACGCGCCTCATGTTGCTTCAAACACCTCACGGCCTTCTCTACCAGGCTAAGACTCGGACCACACTACGCATCCACCGCTCTGGGGATTGCCGTGGGCTTGCCGCTGATGTTTTCTCAAGGTCCTCATGTGAACGTAAACTTTGGTACAGCCAGGCGCCTCGCAGGTATAACTCCTACCTTTGTGCGTGCGCATGTGTGAGACGTAGAGTTCTTGTGTGTCCAGTAAAGCTCGACAGCGATATGGGCATCTGGTCGGGCCGTCCCACTCTGGGAAATTACCTCGTTCCTCTGGTCTGGAAACCATGGGTTTGGCGATGTATTTTTCGGCGGAGGGAAGTTGTGAGGTTGGTTGTTCGGGGACCGGAGTGACTTCTCGGCTCGTGGTAGTTGCTTCACTGGCTTGCGAGATGGATTTGATGTGATCTCCCTGGTCCCAGTCGGGTATGGGGGTGTCCTCTCGGATATATGTGTTTTGTTCGGTCCATTGTGAAGGTGTCTTACTACCATCTCCTTGGTCGTCCTCGGTGACTGGAGTGTTGGCGGGTACCTCGCTCACTTCCGATTCGAGGTCAATACGGCCGTCCCATAAACTTTGTGCGAGTGTCTCCAGGTCAGGACTGATATCTGTAGTGTACGTATACCATCTGCCATTGTACCAGAAAAAGTCAGAGGTCGAGCCTTCGTCGGGGGCGCTGGATATTTCTCTGCTTGATGGGCTAGATGGAACTCCCCTGATATGAGTCAGTAAATTAAAAGCGAATCGTGAAGTGTAGACTACCTCGATGCATTTAGGTCATTTCCTTCCGAGATCCATTGCGCAACCTCTTCTTCGTAGGTATTCACGTTTTCAGGAAATATAAAATCTGTCATATCGGAAGCTTTGAGAAAGCACAGGTGGGTAGAGCTATTGACTCGGGTTGCTGTAACGATTGATTTCGGTTGGCGCAGCGGGTAAATGTGACAATCTTCGGATATCGATACTGGTCTCGAGCAACAGCTAGGGCTGGTAGCGAGATGGGGGCTGGCAGGGCAACCAAGTTTGACGGTGACAAAGACCCATAGGGGACTCTCGTCATTAATATAAGTCGAGATGTTGAGCGGCGGCTCATGTGGAAGGAAGGATCTATTGAAGCGTTGCCATTTCCCCTAGAGTGGGTAAAGGAAGAGCAATGGAATTCCGCGTAGGACTGAGGGAAATTCTCTGAACAAGACTATCAAGCAGCAATCCCTATGCATTCCACCGGTGAACTTGGTATGTAAGATAACCATGAAGTGAAAGAACGGCGCAACCAATCTCACTCTGCCTTGTGTTGTTGTCATTTCTTTCATACAGTACCAACCAAAAAGCAATGCCATACGCGAAACTTCACCAAACTTCGTTGTCGCACGTCTAAACTTTCCGCCCTATCTCTTCATTTCTTCTCCCTCACATGTAATTTACTCTCGTCGATTTTGGCAGGAATTAGCTCAATGTCAGAATGAAGTTTTCAAATCCGAATGCTGAGTAGACACCCCATCATGACACGTGTGTAGAAAATTCCCCTGTGCCATTCATTGCCTTTGCATATCCACAAAACCCCACCACTCACAGCAAAGGCATAAGTACATCCCGCATCCACCTCTTCACCTGCTCAAAAACCTCTTTACCTTCCTTCCTTCCCTTCCCTTTGCCATCCGCCCCTTCGCCACGCCCTTCGCCACAAACATCCTGCGCCAACTCTTCGAAAAGCTTGCTAATCTCAGTATCAACACCATCACAAACTAGACTCTGTACATCGCCGTCGCTTTCACTCAGCCACCGCTTGAGTAAATCGCCATCGACATGTTTATGTCGTGGTCCACGTTGAGAAGCGCGTTCCAGGTGTCTCGGATCCACATCTCTAATCACGATGTCGCCATGTTGAGTCCCCGGAGTATTGTTCATGAGAATACGGAAGATGTCTCCACTTCGAGGCTTGACCTTGTCATGCTGGTGCACAGCGGATCGCGATGTTTTGACTTCAATGAGATTCTGTACCAAGCGCAAGAGGTGGCGTGATGGCTGAGAGAGGATAGAAAAGGCAAAGATGGTGCCGTCGGTACAGGCACCGAATATGTCGTCTGCAAGGATACCAGCGATCTTGCCACTAGAGTCTGCTTGACGCCATGGTGGACGGATGTCACCGCGATCGATACGCACTACAGCGCGAGGAAGACACGCTTCAAACAGAGTTTCCGATGCGTTACTGTAGGTGTATTCGGGTGGGTGATAGAGAGCGGTCACTGAACTACTCTTCTTATCCGTGACAAGTACGAAACGGTCTTCTTGGTTTTCGTCACTCACATTCGTCACATCCATGACGAGATGCCGCGAGCAGTTGCGCACACCGCTATCGGAAAACCGTGGGATAAACACGAAAACACCAGGGCGATCCCTATCCACTAGTTGGAAACACATGTGAGAGTGCTGGAGTGTTGATACGTAAACATAAGGACGTTCAATGGAAACATGGATGCCAGGTGAAGGGAGCTCTATCCATGCGCATTGAGTCCACCTGTAAGAAGTTAGTCAGCCTGTCGTGCAGAGCAACAGAGGATACACACCTTCCATCATCCTCAGAGAATTGTTCCATGAACAACTTCCTTCCAGTAACACCAACAGTAGTTTTATTGTCCCATAATGCAATGCTATAGACTGGTTGGTCGTAGGTGGACTGTTTTTGTAGCTCTAGCTTAGAGCCCGACCTTCCAGCATTAAAGATCAGTCTCCTCCCGGTTTGTCGACTCGATCCCACTTGTATACCCGTGCCTACAATGATCAGAGAGTACTTTTTATCCCGTTGAGTGACAAATTGCCACTCGACCATGGTATACACTCTTTCCGCGTGCTGTAGCGAGAATTGGGCTACGACTAATCGTTCTGGGACGCCATCCCGTTCCTCTTGTTTTATTTCCATATCGTTGGTTGATCTGTCATCGCGCACTTCAAGCAGTTTAATTGACGAGTGCAAGACCCGCTCGCCGTGTGGTGGCGCATGACTTTCCTTTGCTTCCATTGTTGAGACAACAACCCGCCGCAGCTTTTGCATATACAGTATGTTTGTAGGCTTAGCGCCTATAATCATCTTTCGTGGGACCATTCTGGAGTCAGAGAAGGACTGGGTAGGTGTGCCGTCACCTGCCCATCTGATGTCCGATTCAAGTTGGGAGAAAAGCAGACGGTCGCCCGCAACGACGAACAAAAAGCCCCCGAGATTTCTTCCAAACTTGTCTAAATCCCGGAGTAAGGGAAGCTGGTACAGAGCGGATACGGGAGACTGATTGTAATCAGGTTGTGTGCGATCGGTGAACCATATGCAGTCAATCTCGAGATCTAATGACCCATTTTTGGGATATTGTACCCGACAAAAATCTGAACCGCAGGACACAAATGCAGAAGAGGCATCCGTCTCACTATGGGTAATTTTAGCTGGGGTTGTACCGATGTGCGTACATATCCAAGAAATAGAGGAAATTCCTGGCCAAATTTAGCCATGTCTCATATGCATCGCGCGTCAGACTTACTTTGGTCTTGTATCTCCAATACAGAGCTCAAAAGAGTACCGTCCCGCATTCCACAGACCAGGATGTACTGGTCGTTTGAGCTCAAGACCACGACACTCTCACAGAGCTTCTGTGAACCGCTGGGCGAATCTTGGTCCCAGGTACCTTCCATCATCAAAGATGTCTGATGGTTGTGGTGTTTGAAGAGCATGATTTTGCAATCAAAGGTGCTGACAAACACGTATGATATACCCCCAATCTCCAGTATCTCAACACATGTGGGGTCGTAGGGCAGCTGTTGGCGGAAATTGCTTGTTCTATCGAAGGTGCCGTCATCAGATATTCGCACAATCTCTAGGAATATGCATCCTTGCTCACGAAAAACAATTGCTATGAATGGATGTGTAGGACGAGAAGCAGCTAACAAGAGCGACGTTTCGAATCTCAGTATGTCGACTTGGCGCAATGTCGGTCGAAGGAGCGTGCGAGCTTCTTTCCTAGTAATCTGAATCGATATATCGCTCGCCCAAGGGCATGCAGATATTGTCTCTTCATCTCGCGCAAGGCTGTCTTCAAGTGGGTCGTCGTCGCTCGGTGTCTGGAACTTGTCCCATGAGCCGGTTTCCCAAGCACCAGAGAATTCTCTGTCACACTCCGGTTGCGTGCGTACAATACGAATCACAAGAGTTTCTGGTGGGAGTGTAATCGTCAATATTGTATAGTGCTGTCTTGTCAGTGTGCCTTCGATGTCCACCACGTGACTCCCGTGATCGACGACCCATACGCCGGCACAGCCATTGACTCCACTGAAACTATCGTCTACTATGGCTTGTACTCCATGCCTGAGCTCGGAGATCTCTCCATACGGACTGTTTCCATTGGCGACGAATATCGAAGCTCGCTGACGTTCACTGGAGGCGCGTGGAGTAGAAAGTTTGGTAATTGCAAAGTCTGTAAGAGGCGTCCAATTGGGCATAGAATCAATGTACGAAAACGAATTCGTCCTCGGTTCGTTGTAGGAATACTCGGTTAGCCATGGCCCAACCTTGCATAGCAGACCATCGTTGCTGGCCCCGCCAGCAATCAGGAAATCCGGGTACTGCTGCGAAGCCTCGGAGTCATCAATCCGCAAACATGCGAAAGCAGTGTCGATACGATGTGACCATTCGCCAACCTCATCCATTTCTACAGTCCCAGCCGGCCCTCTGACCAGATATATGATACGTCCATCCTCTCTTGCTAGGTAGAAGCCCTCCTTTGGGTAGCCTGGATTGCGAAGGGTTTTATCCCATGCTGTCCATTTTGGTCTTGATTTGCTGTCACCTGGTAGTAGTGGGATGAGCAAGCTCGGATCAATAGGTACCACCGAACATGCTGGGTCTCCGGAAAGGATGTTTTTGTACACCGAAATGTGCTCGTCGAAAACCAAGAGGAAATCGGGGCTACGACGGAGAGGAATTAGGAGTGAAGGCATAGTGTCCTCTGATGAATTAGCAGTAGTTACAATAATGTGCGCCTGCACGGATATCGACCTACCTTTTTGCACATAATATCTCTCCGTGCGTGCTGCTGCTTCGCTAAGATTCTGCCTACAATCCCAATCAAAGCAAGAAAGCCTTGTTCGGCCATCAAGAACAATAACCAGGAGAAGAACGACGTGATACTCATCTTCTCCAGGGGATAGAAAGTCCATGTGCATGATTTGCCCCTGGACTGATATGATACGCTCATCTTCAATAGCTGTTGGCATCTCGCGGCCTTGATTGGCCTCGGCTTCCCAAGCTGCCATGGTCTTGGTTTTGTAGAGGATGAAGCGACCCTCATGCGCGGCAACAGCTAGTGCTCGGCACTGGGGGTCGACGGCCAGGAGACTGCCGAAACGATCAAACCGGGAGCTTCCTGCGGGTAATCTGACAGTCTTGTGTGTGAAGGTGTTCAGCCCGGTGTGAGTATGTCGGGCCCACAAGAACATAAGCGTCCTATTGGAGAGAGTGAGTACAACGACTTCTGGGGGCAAATGGGTCTCCCTTTCACTTGCTAGTCGTCGTGGTCTATACTTCAAGTCGGTCTTTGGCGAAGAGAGACCGCTAATTTTCGTGCTACGTGCCTCGCGTGGATGGCCGAACACCTTGGCGGTTATGATACGGCCGCCGTTGAAGTCAGTTTTGGTGGCCACATGGCGGATACGGCCATGATCGCGAATTTCCTTGAGATGTATGTAGTCTTCGCCAACAATGACAACATCGACCAGGTCTTTGTGGCGTATGTTGGCGGGCAGAATGAGCTTGTTTAGAGGAGTAGCGATGACTGTCTGCGATAGTATGCCATACTCAGGCACCCGATGAGTTGGCTTGGGGGCGACATCGGGCATCTGGATGTCATCTTGCTGGATGTTGGCCATGACATGATAAGGGTCGATGGGCATAGAGACCCACTCGCCATCGACAAGCCTAAGGCCATGGGCTTGTGCCATCGTGAAGAGCTAAAAGACGATCGTAGGACACGGCAGTTCGGAGGCGACAGCGATGGTCAGACTGTACAGCCGCAGGCAAGATACTCAAGCTGGAGTGAGAAGAGGGTGCAAAGGTATACTGTGGAAGAAGTCGCTTGGAGACATGTTTGAGCCTGTCGGAGCAGGCTAGTTTGTCAGACCGGGTTGATGGGGCAGAGCTATTCAGGAATACAATAGCTGGAATGAGTTGATGTAATCGATAGTCTACACAGTCTCGCAATGACTGAATCCCGTAGCCAAGACGAGGAACCGGAATGGCAGCAGCAGCAATTCGAGGCAACTGTAGCCGGGATGACCTGCAGCTCTAGCGCCCGGGAATACTATATCAAGGGAGTCTCGAGATGGCGCGAAATCTAGACGGCCAGACTAGCCGAGTGGTGATGGAAAAGCGAGAGTCGTGCACGTAATTGAGGCGGGCCGTGTGCAACGCGAGCTGGCAGACTATCGGTGAGGCACTGGGGCCGGCGGCGAGCAGGGCCGGCAGCGGAGGTGAATGGCTGGAGCGGGTGATGTGTAGAGATTGAGGCTCACGTGACGTCTGCGGTGGATGGTGGATGGTGGGGTGCCAAGCTCCTCGGTTCGAAGGGCAACGGAAGCGCGACGCTCACACGGGCAGACCTGGCGCCTGCGAAGCCTGCCTGCGCGTAACAAACCACCATGTAAGCAATTCACACCCTCAACAAAGAAACACCCCGTCTGGCCTCGCCCTGTCTCGCCACTCCCCGTCCCCCGCGCGCTCTTCTGCGCACGCGAGGCACACATTGGCTACGTCATCAAGCCAGCCTCGAGATGCCGCCGCGCCCATGGCTTCACCCACTTCGTCAGCCTCTCTATCGCGCTCAGTGAGTGCCAGCTCCACCAGCCTCCCTTCGCGCCACTCCACTCCCGTTGCTACTCTTTCGCCTGCCGAGCAGGAGAAGGAGGCATTGGTTCGCGCGGCCATTGACAATGACGATGTTGCTGCCCTGGTCCATCTGGCGACGACATCGCACGGCCTTGTCAGCGACAGCCTGCGCCGCACTGCTTGTAGGCTGCTTTTGCTGTTCGCATTGTGCAGAGCATCAGGCTGATGTGCATAGGGCCCCTCTTGCTAGGATGCTCTGAGAGCGACATAGCCAAGGAACCCCATGCAGCCCTTCCCGAGCACGAGGACGAACATCAGGTTGGTCTCGATGTCAATCGGGCCTTTGTCTACTACCCCAAGAATGGTAGGCCAGACTGTGCCGGAATCTACTCTCTTCACATGCTGACTCCCCCTCAGAATCAGAGAACAAGCTTCAACAGCGGAAGAAGGACCTTTCCTACGTCATCCTTGACGTCCTGCGCCGGCACCCCTCGCTATCCTATTTTCAAGGCTACCATGACATTGTCCAGGTCTTTCTCCTCGTCCTCGGCCCCGAGCATGCCCCCGCCGCAGTCGCTCGCCTGAGCCTCCTGCGCATCCGTGACTTCATGCTGTCATCGCTTGAGCCTGCCCTCGCCCAACTTGAACTGCTCCGGCCTATTCTTCGCGCTGCCGACCCGGTCCTGTACGACCATCTCCCAAAGAGCCAGCCCTCGTTTGCCCTTGCCGGCACTATCACTATGTTTGCACACAACATACAAGACTACAAGGACATTACGAGATTGTTTGACTTCTTCCTGGCTCGGCATGCTGTAATGCCCATCTATCTCTTCGCTGCGGTTGTGCTTTCCAAGAGGGACGAGCTGCTAGAGATTGACCAGGACGACGAAGACATACTTTATGTCATGTTGGGCCGGCTTCCGCAGCCGTTTGATGTCGAATTTCATATCGCCCGGACTGTGGAACTATACGAAAGACTGCCGCCTGCCCGCCTCAATAGCTGGGAGTGGTGGCGCATCTCATCGTCCAGCGTGCTCAAATCCTCTGCTACCAGCGACAGTCTTCGTCGCCTGACCTTGGAGGACGGAGAAATGTTCCTCGCGCAGCAGGAGAGGGACCTCCGCCGACAACAGGTCCTGCGACGTGCGGCCAAGAATGTCGAGTACCTCAGGCTACGTCTTTGGTTCTACCGCCGATACGGCGCCGTCAGTCTTGCCGTTCTCGTTGGTGTCTATGCCGTATGGCTAGGACGAAATGGAGACGTCAGTACTCGGTACCCTCTGCTTGGGCCTTTGGGTCAGTTCTTGAGCAAGTATCTTGGCTCCCCGTGATGAGGCTCGTGTCTCGGGCACATAGATACAGTAAAAGTGATTTCAAAGCATGATCCGGCGCTGGGGAGCGATTCTTGTGTGCTCCCCATATATCCATGTTCAAGAGTTGAATAGACTGCCTGTTTGTATTCAAAAAAGCTTACCGCTGAGGCCCATGATCCCTTTCTGGTACACTGCATCTAGGCATAACAAATGCTCAAGTTCGCAGTATGTCAGCCTATACCCTTTTGGGAATGGTTTTTCTACTCAGGGAAGACCTTGCTTAGGACCCTCAGCGCGGCCACTTCTCGGGCCTACTGTGTACATACTACAAGGACCCTTATTTTCTGTAACTACGACGCCTAAGTGTCTGCCGCAAAAACGGAAGAAAAAAATTTACTCACTTGCCCTAGTACTATATCACTCGGTCCTTAGGTCTGACGTTCTTGTGCTTAGCTGCTGGCAGGATGACAATGACCTCATAATGCATTGATCGACTGGCAGCAGTGTGGGACGAGATATTCCTCTGCTGGGTCTAGACTGCCCTGCGGGTAGAACTTGCAGATGTCATCTCCCTCGTATTCAATCTTATCGCGGTTCCTTAACTGCAAGCCCATGATGTACACCAAGTTTTGATCAAGGGGGTTGGATGCTGGTCCTTGATGCAACCAAACATTTGCCCAGGCCGAAAGTCGTCACACGCATCGGACACGATAAAGACCCGTTTGTTCCAATCCGCTAAATGAGAGCACACCGCCCTAGGGATACCGTGTATAGCATCATTGCTTCCGCGTCTACGTAGCCCTAGCGCACTGCGACATGCAATTCCCATGCAGCCGCGGGCATTCCCACCTATCCCAGAGCATCTCCTCCACACTCAACCACTCAACGATCTAGATTGCAATCCGGCATCTCGCTTGCCACCGAAACATTGTCTATTGCTATTGAGCAGCACGCAGGGTTGCCCATTGCAGTTAGGCCAAAGGGCCCCGCAACTTTGGACCCTGAAAAGACGTCACCCGCCAAGATATGATGGCATAGCATCACCCGCCTTTGGTTCAAATACACGAAACGTCGCTTGGGACAGGGCCCCATCAGCGGATTGTTTGGATTCCTTCTGCACACCAACACTCTACACAGTGAAGACAATCAAGGTAAGCTTTTGTTGCTGGGTCTCCCATTGCCCTTGCTTTCGAAGAATAAGCATCACTATATAGCATACTGTACCTGCCCATTTTCTGCAGGGGCAAGACGTATTCTGGATGCATTTAGCTAACTAGCCTAGACTCAAGGACCTTCACGTGTTCCTACACTTTTAATTTACAGCCTCTCGTCCACCCTCCGAGGTTGCTCTCAAGCGCTTACAGCAATACCATCATAATGACTTCAAGGCCGTCCTTCATGCCGCCGACCGAAGGGTCTTTCCTGTCGTCGGGTAGTTTCACTCCATCTGGCCTCACACCCAGCACGCGTAACCAGGCCGAAGAGGCCCTTACCGCAAACAGCACCGCCCAGACCGACTCGGCAGCTCCCGATCCTCGTCTTCTCCCTTTGATGGGCAGCGGTGGCGGCAACGAGACACCTACCCAAGACGGACCAGCTGAGGCCCTAAAAGCATACACAGGATACCGCCGACCTGGTGTTGTTCGCGCTAGCTCTACCAACTACGAGAATGCGCTCAAGAGGGCCCAGGAGGCGTCCGTGTCATCTGACCTCTCGACCGATTCAGAGGTACCCGACAACATTAACAACGGTCAGACCGTCGCCTCACCTGTATCCATATCTACGCCTTTCCCACTTCCAGGACAAGGCGTTGTCCCTCTCAACTACAATTCGCCTGTTGGCCTTTCCCAAGGTGACTCGCAGAAGAAGTCACGGTCTCGAGGCCTCAGCTTGAGCGGTCTCGCACAGCAGCAAGGCTGGACGGAGCAGGACTACAAGCGCATCTACAGCGCTGAGCTCATGGCAGCTGATCCCAAGCATTCGGCTGGATACGGTTCGGCCCCAAAAACTGAGACCGCGTGATGTCCTAATTCTTCCATACCACTATCCAGTCCACAAGACAGGGGCGCAGAAGCGGATCATCTGAGAAAGAGTAGAGACAGCAACCTTGTTATCGTAACGGCACTGCTAGCTGATTCATTACCATTTTATTACCTGCAGGGCGTTAGGCGTGGTTTCAAACTATGCAAAAAGGTCGCTGGTCGACAGGTGATGCTCAATAACATAATTTGATATCTGCCATCGTGGGTGTGAGTTTTGACAATTTGCAAACGTGACGTGATGTTCAATGGTCATGATCAGTATCGCTGATACTGTCTCTTACCTCTCCATGTACTCATTGCCCCGCTCAATTTCCTCCTTCACCTTGTCTCTCACCGTGGACTTACACAACTTACTTCCAAGCTCGGGCCTGCGCTACGTATTTTCCTCGAAGCTTCATTCCATACTGACCCACTTCACCTTAGGAACGCTACTAATGACTCGTTCTTACTATACAAATGTCTTTTCTCAAGAGATTCGGGGCGACGGTCAACATAGCAAGGCCGAAAAGTTCATATAGAGAAAACGTCGTAAGCACTCTGTACTAACTCCCACGCAACATACTGAATCCTGCAGGATGCCGCAGTCATACTCTACCCTGCCGAGCAGTTGACCAAATTCTATGTCTGTGTTTTTCGTGCGAACGACCTGCCCAGCGCAAACGACAGGGAAGTGTATATAAAGAACGAATTGGCAAGGCTCTTGCAGTGCATCTAGCACTTGGGGTACATACAGCCCTGCCACCCGGACCGCTCTGGCATGGAAAGGATCCTAGTGGACAGGAAAGACCGGTGGATTCTAGCTCACTAGATGAATGGTGTCGAGGAGCGTCAGCTCTCGCCATTCACTCTGGATCATTTATTGCCCAAGTGAATTCCAGCTGCACAGCCCGAACAAGACACTCTAGCAGCAGAGCGAGTGTCTGCCGCACCGCCTGCAGAGGACGATTTTGGGTTGCCAGATGCCCCCATTTTCGACATCATGCAGGCTGAGTTCTTCCTGCAAGTCGAGGATTCGCGCGAGGGCTTGATTGATGACATCCTGGCGGAACTAGATGGACACGCGGATGAGTAAAGTGCTCTTGTGAGCTGGTTCATCATGATAGAGAGGAGGAAGGAATTCATTCGTGGATGAGGAAGCTGTGGTTGCTTAGAGTACTGAGCGGTTGTGCTTGAAGAGATGCACGTAGTCACGTCACCTCTCAACGCAAAAATGAAGATATCGCCACATCATCTTTCACATCGTCACCGTATTGATAAAAATAATGTCGAATAGAGACACAAGTATCATGCCAGATGTAAGAGTGTCTGTGATATAGCAGGCGAGTTCTTGGCAGCCGCAACGACGGCAGGAGCGGAACAAAAGCTCATTTTCACTCATCCACTTCTCAACAATTTCTTGTCACCCCTATGTATCAGCATCAGCAGCCATCGAGAACAGCTCAGCTTTTTCTGTCTATCAGCATAGCTGGACAGGTTGACCAGGATCATGTCGAAGTTGTGTATGTGGGCAATAATAACTGCTTCATTCAAGAACAACAGTGCTAACTGATGGGTGAAGTGAGCAGTCTGCAACTCAGCTATATCCGCATCATAATGGGCCTCCTCATCATCTCTCACCCAGCTACTCTCAAGTGACTCTCGGCTTGCCAAAAATAGCCCACAGGGAAGATGCAATGGCTACTGAGTCACCGCACACTCATAGCACCACGGCCCAGTGTACTCTGGAGCCGCCTCACCCACCGTAATCCAACGAGCAGAGTAAGGGGCCTGAGTTCGGAGACCAGGATTATGCTCCATCATGCGATTTTTATGTAGTTTCTCTTACCTCAACCTACGGTGTACTTACACACTCTGTAGACCAGAGAAGCGCTCTCACTTTATCCTTCCTCAGCGAAACTATCTTAGTGACCAGAGCGCGTCCACAAGCAATGATTCGCCTCAAGGGCAAGAAAACCAACCGCCCAACTATTTATCCCCGCAAGACCAGTGGTTGCTTTCATATCTATCCCCAAACATTGCGAATCAGAAAATAACGCGTCCACCTCAGTCGGTGGGCCTAAAGCATGAATACTTGGCTGCACTAAAGGATATTAAGCAGAAGTGTTTCCAGAGCGAAGAACGCCTACATTCCATAGCGAATACGCTTTCAACTATGTCGACGAAGAGTCCTCCACAAGGAAAGTATGCACATGTTTTCGATAAGTTTACTAACACATTAGCGGCAATGGACGAGAAATCTGTTGAGTCACGCGAGGCCATGGCATACGCGAAGTCTGGTCTTACTACGATTGAACTCCAACAGAGCGCCTTTTCAAACGAACTGGTCAATATCACCGCCAAAGTCAATAGCCTGTATATCATGGTAGAAAATTTAGAAAAAAAGATATCCAGTGACCCATCACCAGCATTAGCAGGCTTCGAGAATCGGCTGCTAGACCGCATGAAGGAACTATACGCGTCGCAACTGCCCATGGTAAAGGACCAACAAACCAGCACACACACGCACGCATCGAGCTTTGCGCCCGGATTCTCATTCAATAAGCGCCAACGGTCATAGACTTCCCCTGCTCTAGAGGAAATGTGCCACGTCTCAGCCTTGGGCGACACAAGTGATACAACAGCCAACATACACCTTGAGTTCTTGCATGACGGTAACCCTATTCTAATTAGCGGGATTGACATAGCGGTGCTAGCAGTGGCACGAGACTTTATCGAAACATACAAGGCTATCACAACGGTCCCGAGCTCAGAATGCTTCACACAAGCAGCTTTAGATGGCAGCATAAGCGAAGAGCGAATTCTGAATTATTATCCATGCAGAGTTTGTATCGTGCAGAAAAAGATTTTTCTCCATCGGAGTTTACATGGGTTTCGTGTATTGAGTCGTAAATCACGCATTATGAGGTGGAAGTGACACGAAGCAGTTGATATTCGTGGAGAGGTCGGGAGGAAGCTTCGGGGCATGATGAAAATATGTATTATGATCATGAAAACATATGTTGTTATCCGATGTGACTCCTAGTACACAGAAAATGTCCAGCAATTGCTGAGTTATTCTTCTCTTGCTTTGCACCTGTCCTTCTTCTCCAACAGAGTCAGTTCTGAGAACTCCTTTGCCAACTCAGCCCGCTTCATGATGTATTTAAGCTCGATTTCAGGCCATTTCTTGACTATGCCGTTATGCGTGTCTTAGAACAACTCCATCAAACTGCTACCAGTCCACATCGACTGCGCCAGCGGGCTCCAACTCCTTGAGCGATTCGAACACAGCGCGAGCAAAGAGCAGTCCAATGACCTTGGGCCCATACAACTACGTTTTCTTCTTCCTTAGCAATCATCTCCAGAAGGCTCTGCTCGGGCTATGAAGGACCACTCGATGGCTTGATTCCCCATTCCGCCTCGTATTGTGCCCTCAAGGCTTCGAGTTCCATAAGAGCTCAGTATCCATTGATACTGTTACGTTATTAATCCTTCTTACTAGGGTGGATAGGCTTACCGTTCTTTGGGTGAAAGCGGGAGGGGAGGGCAGGCCTACGTGTAGCCGCCTTTTTGGACTCCTCTGACATGAACAGCCTTATAGGCTCCATTCGCTTTGGCACGTGTTTCTGGAAGCAAAGGTCGATCTGCCAGTATTCACGGCAATAGCGTTCCAGCAAGCTCACCTCAGACGTCGGAACAAAGTAAGTTGACGTTTCACTCTTGAACTCGAGCAGGAATTTCTCGAGCCACTCAACGTTTTCGGGGAAGATGTTCATGTACGTGAATATCTTTGCCGTGGTGTATATGAGTTCGACGTTGATAATGTACCCGTTCTTTTTTTATAATACGGGAGGAGTGCATCTTCATCCGGGAAGCGGAACTCTTCCATTGTAGCGAGGATCTAGTAGGGTGGTGAGAATCTGATAGATGAGTAGTTCAGTTGAAGCTTGCAGGATATGGTGGGGAAAGTTATAAGGTAAGGCAAGCTCGTAATGGGAAGAGACTTCGTTGAAGTGCAGGCCGTTTGCTCTCGGAGGCGCCCTTGGGCTGTCGGAGACTATAATGCAATTACGCAGTGATTGAAAGTTCTGAAACTGCTAGAATAGTTACGAAAAATTCTGCTCTAACTTCGAAATAAGAGTATGACTTGATGGGCGCAAGACGTGGTATCAGGGCAACAAGATCAAACTGCGGTGAAGGTCGAAGAACATGAGAAGCCAATATCAGGAGTTTTTTAACCCTCATCATGAATTCAGAGAGATTCAATGGCAATGATTCAAGCGGTAGCATGACGAACTTATCAAGGATGACATCAATCTACGTGGGCAAATGTGACACTTGCAAAAGAAGCTTGGGAACAACAACCTGGAGCGGCGATAGGGATTAATCAGCCTTTTGCATTAGGAGACTTCTATTCGCGGTCTATATAAGCACTGCAACGATTCGCACACATTGTTCACAAGTAAGAGAAAATTGGTCAATGCAATCTGCATTGTATCAAACTATGCTTTTATTACTCTTGTGGGGTTATATCTGATTCGCGCCCAGGGTATCAGTCTATCATTTCTCGAAAAGGAGAGCAGGTCATAGTCCCTAGCTTTTGCTAAGGTATAGAGAGAAAAGACTTTGTAGCCAAGACCCAGCTATACATCATCAGAAGCTAGGGGCTATGACCCACTCTCACGCCTCTCGGTGCAAAAGATGACGATGAAGCGGTCTTGATACCCCTCAAGCATCACCACACCATATATCATCTATTATACGGGAGCCATTCTCCCGTACGCTCAGTCCCCCACCGGCCCCAGACATATGCCCCTGTCCGCTTGTTCTTCACAAGCTTACCGTTTACCACGACTGGCTCCCTGTTGAGGTCGACGGCACGAAGTCTTTCGTGCATGAGGGCCAAGTCGACGCGGCCCGGACCGACGCGGTTTGGATCATGACAAGAGAACATGATCTTGTTCAGTCGTTCTTGTGTGATTCCCAGGGCAGTCTCGACATTGACTGCTAACATGTCGTTTTCAGGGTCAAATAGCCAGTCAGTCAAGAGTCTCTGGTCGATCAAGCTGTGAGAAGATTTTGCTGGATATGATTAACCAGTATTACAAAAAAGCAATGATTGAGATTCTTTCATCCAAGCATCTGGGTGGTATCTTCATACAGTATTGCTTCGGTGATGACTTGAACATGCGCGGTGGATTATATGTAGGGAGCACAGTGGCGGTCATGATGCAATGGCAGGGCTCTGCAATTAAAGTATCACGGGATATATGAACCTTCCAAGCACTGTCTTCGGCGAGAATATGGGCCGCCTACAAAAATCCATGTCTTTCCAACCGCACTGATTTAGATGCGAACGCGTTGGACTGGCCTCAACAAGGTTACTTGTTATGTTCGGGCGGTACGGTAGAAGTACAGTGAAGACGGACTTTATCACGATTGAGCCGATCCAACCCAGCTTGTACAACCTCTGTATCCAACCCAGGATCCACGAAAGCCTAATGATTTCGAACTAGACTTTGGGCTTCAAGCTGCTTGGGGATATTGTATACATGAATGCTGAGTCCCAAGGACGCGCGAACTCCATTCGCACCGATACCAACGAGATTAGCGATACTGAGAGATACGAAAGCAATAGCGGCTGATAAGATGCCAACACCTGGGCCAGAGATTGTCGTGTTCTTCGCATCGAACTGGTATGGTGCTTATTCAGCCTTATGATGACTTTGATATCCTTAGTGTACGTTCGATTTTATCTTCACGTATATTTTTCTTGGCGTGCCCAACAACCGTTTCAATCTTAGGAATACCAAGAAAGACGCTCTCCAAAATACCGCCCAGAGGGCCCTTGCGGAAGTCATCATCGTTCACCAAACTCAAGGCACTAACAGAGGCTAAGACTACATGTTGCCATTACCTTGCCTTTTTTTGCAATCTTTCCTGTGACTACCTGGTGTATACTTATGCTAATGAAGTGAGCTAAGCAGATCGACAGCAGAGGATCCTGAATAGCTGGTTAATGTTATTGCAGGGGAGATCGCTGTTGAAAAAAAGAGAAAGGAAGAATTTGCGTCATCCATGCTGTCCCAGGAACTTGGAGAGGGCTACCCTTGTGTTGTGCGAAGATCTGGATATACTCAGGCTAATCTATAGCAAGGTTGCAAGTACCCGACACGGATGTTATACAGCCCTCTGCTGCAGTGACACGATGGTTAAATCTCCTTGGAATTACCTACCGGCATATGTTTTTGACAGGATCCCGGGGTCGAAATCTCGAGACGCATATACATGAAACTTGTGTGTCTCAGGCAGTTCGCTAATTGCATTCCGTTTTGTGACATGGATAGAGCGCTGGTGTCAGTCGGAGTTAGTTCGTCGATGCTAGTTACCGAGTACCGGGACACTAGAGCCACTAGTAGGGAACACCGCCAAAGACGTATAGACGTTAGAGTATAGAAGAACATACCTAAGAGGAGGGAAACCCCATCTCCTCTTTTTGCGAACCCAAGTATCGGTCGTCTCTGTTACCATCATACACCCCCTTACAGGGTAGTGTCCAACCTCTCCGGATGGGGTTTAGCGTCTGCGCACATCATCATCCACATGGGCCAGCTACCCATTACCTCACTGTCATCATCAATAGTACTTGTATTAACTTTCTTATTCTTCCCGAGTTTTGCTTTGGGTCCCAAGATCGTAGATGCGACTTGTCCTTCTTCCATCCCTTTTCTCTCGTCTTTCGGAGAGCGATCGCCCTTGCAACTAGTGACACGCCACCTAGAGACAGACTTTCGTACAGATATAACTAGCTTCGAACCCGCTGCATTGTGAACTTTAAACTGCAGTCGGGCGCCATTCTCCGCACTTGTCGGTGGGGAATAATAGAGAATTTTATAATACCGACACCATTAAGTTGGATTTTGCCGTAGCTCCAGCACTTTTGTTTCGCTTATTGGATCTCAACAAAATCATTTCTGCGGAAGTAGCCTCCGCGGGGAGGTATGTTGCTAGGCGCAAGAATGATTTCGGGGTAGTTGGTTTGGCTGAAATAGCGTGAGATAGGCTTGACTTGGCTCCGATCAACTAACAATAGCGTGCGTACGCTATGGCTTAGTACTTACGCCCACTTTTTGCAATTCTCTCAACGTGTATAGTGCAGATCTAATATTCTGAAACTAATAAATGAACTACATCAGGGCATTACTCGACGCGGCGAAACCTTCCGCTACAATGCGATCATGCGAGGGCGACAAAATATGTTTCATATGCCGGTCAGAAGCCACAAGTAGATCTGTAAATCAATCCCATATTCCTTCCCCTAATAGCAAATCCCTTTCTCGTCAAAAATTATTCATGTAAAGACTCTTGAGGGAAGATCTGGGCGCAAATAAGGGGATTTCTTCGGCATTACTTCCCTGATCACGCGCTAAGTGGAGCTTTGACAGGTCGCTTGCGCAGGTGGTGGCCGTCGTCCCATTCTTGGATTGCGCTTGTTCGAGGCTGCCACATCAGCAGCTCCCCAAGATAGATGAATCTCAGCGAGTCATTCCCACGTGGGCTCATTGTGCCGCCATAGCCGTTGTCTGATCGCTATTAGAACGAGGTAAAAATCGTACGATGCTGGGTAATTGACTGCTCGGGCATGCCGGGAAAAGAGTTTGGTTGGGAGCATCGACTAGTCTGAGATCACGTGTTCCACTGGCTCTGGCCAGACATCACGCAATTTGTGGTCTATTTGACCGACGGGGAACATGCGTCACTCTGCTGACGTCCTTTTAACATCTTGAGCTTAAATGAAGGTACGGGAAGGGGGTGACAGATGTGCGGGAAACCCATGATTTCCCGGGTTCAGGGTAGTAGTAGTTCGTCCTATCTTCGAGGCGTGGATCAGGTTCCCCGAAGCACCACCGACCCGTTCGTCAGATGATTGCTAGATAACTCCAGTTCTTCCATCCCTGTCGCGACGTGGCATACTAGTTCTGATCCCCCACTTCGCATCGCAAACTCAAAGGATCTTCATCGGGAAGACTCTGGAGCTGCTGTTCGGTAAGCGAGCCTCGGCAATCAGTCATGTTACGCTTAAAGGAAGGACCGAAGCCCTGTGCTTGCAGCTCGAAAGAAAGCGGGCTGATACTATGGCGTTCAAGACGACGGAAGGGGGGCCAGATAATCGGCATCAATGTTCAAAAACCAACATGGTGCACATTGCCACAAAACGAAGTATGAAGTGTTTAGGGGCTCTAATATGAAGGCCATTTGTGAGGTGGAATTGGAAAATGAGTCAAGCGTTCCGGAATAAGGTATCTGATATATGCTTTTTCTATTCATTCTCTAGCTTTATACATTTCCGCCACTTAGAGGGTTAACGGGGTTCATTATAAACATTATGGTTCGTGACAGGTCGTCCGATGGCCATCGTTCCAGTTTAAACGGGAAGTGGCGGGTGAGGATGAGGGTGCCTTGAGCAATGCGGATCCTGTTGCGACTAGTTTACAGTGTGGAGAGCAGAAGCTTTGAGACGCCGAGGATCTTGTGTACATAGCAGCGGGTACAGATATGCTGCTGCTGTTGTTGTTGGATATGGCAGAATGTGCTATGCTAAGCAAAGGCAAACACCAGAATTTGTATTATCATGTGATGTAGTAGAAGAAACAGACCTCATTTCTGCCTTTTACGTATACTCAACTCTTAGTCACGGTTCAGGATGGTCCGCTGCGAGTCGAGACTCCTTCCATGCCGTTTCCGGTGCGTATGAACTCTTCAGAGTATGAACGGTCGGAAATGCATCCAATAGAAACGATTGCCGACAAATCTGATCTGTCGCCATTGCCGGACTGAGGGAAATTGCTGTCACGTTTGATCTCGGCCTTGGGTATAGGAAGCAGATCCACGGTACTTAGTTCGACATCATCTTTGTGATCGCCAATTGACATCCAGCTCCGGCCGAGTGGCCTATACCATTCCTGCTGTGATGGCGATTGATGTGAAGGAGGGGGCGCTTGCAACTGTGGATCGGTGCTAGTTGACTTGCCCGATTTGTCCGTGGAGTTTGCTACGCGGGAAAGGAATCCCTTGAAGCAGTTTGGTAGGAGGCGTGTAACCAGTAGTCGGATAGCTGGAAGGGATACGCAAACACAGCCAGCTGCAAGCTCTAGTTCGGTCCAAGCAACAAGCGGAGCATAGTCCCAGGTAGGGTCAAAAGAGATATTGTAACGGGTCAGAGTGTGCATCCGAATCATAGTTGCGATACAACCGAAGGTGCCGGTGGCAAACATGAAACCAACAGCGTACTTGCGCCAACGATTGACGCGCAGATTCCGGATATATATCAGAGGAAGAGCCAGAAGGATAAGATCCTGTACGATGGCACTGGCTGAGTTTGCATAAGACACGTTCCTGGGGCTTATGCACTTTCCCTTGATATTTCTGTTCCAGAAAGATTCGATAGGGGAGCAAAGAAAGACCGACAGGAAGAATATGATGATGGTGCTAGTGCTGATGAAGACCATTGTCATGTAGGCGAGTAATCGAAACCGCGCGTCTATAAAGATGTTCAGGTAGGACAGCAGTAAAGCGACCTTGATAAGACCAAGGACAACGCCATAAACTGCTGCAGCGATGTAGACTGGCAGAAGTCAGTCAAATGAGAGTAGAAAATAGAAGAACAGGCTGAACATACACAATCTGAGAATGGGCATCAAAGCACCATCCTCCAGATTCCAAAGATGGTCACCGAACCCACGTACAATCACTAAGTTTAGTCAGCATAAGTAAGATGCAACAGTGATGCTGTCTTTCACGTACTCGTGAGAGCACATGCTATTGGCACTTGGCCTAACAGCCATGTGCCAACGACAATGTAGTCATCCAATCCGACTCGTTTTGATATTATCTTGCCCGCGGTTCTGCCGACCACGCATATAAAACACACCACATAGACGGTAATGGTGAGGGTCAAAAGTTGTTGACGTTTCGAATCATTTGAGAGGTTGCATACGTCGGCCTGCACCCTAGCGATGCCCAGGCTGTCTTGCATTGTGCAGTTGGCAACCATGCAGCTCCCCACACGCATCGTGAGGTCCTTGTCGCCACAAATGCAATTGATGTCTTCAAGAGTACAATGGCTCGTAGAGATTGCCGATATCATGCAAACGAGCTGTCGAATTGTCAGCAGGTACAACGAGGTACAAAGTTTTACAAACCCCGCATTCTGGAATATCATTGATACCCAGTTTCCTGGAGACCAGGTCCGATCCTGCGACGTGAGCATGGCCAATGTTGAGTAGGGCGCATACGACGACAAGGAGGATGAGGCGAAAATGCATAGGTGCGAAGTCTGCGCTCAGAGGAAGAGACCAGACATTGGGATTGACGTCTCGAAAAGGATTTACGTGGTAGTATATTCAAGCCCGGTCATTGCGAGTCGTGTTAGTGGAAAATTCCAAGGCGGCTTTGTAGGTAACACGAGCAAGGCGTCGTTGGCTCTTCCAGAAGCATTAGCGACGGCAACCAATTAGATAATATGGTCAAACAACCGTTGCGCAACAACGCTGTTGCATGTACGTTGTCGAGGCCCCTGACATGATGCGATAGCTAGCGAAGATATGTCAATGCTATTTGAACAGACGCCCACCAGGTCCCCCGTTCCCAGGCGTACCCTTTCCGAGCCTAGTATATTGGGGACTGCAAGGAGAAGGCTTGTACCCAAGCGTTAGCCCCGTATCGCACAGCCGATCCTAACTCCAAACGCAACAACCAATCTGCCTGCCGCTCTTAGTGCCAAGCCGGGATACCTTGCTGATCAAAGCCATTGGCCCATATCAAGTCTGTGGTTTCATAAGCGACGAGACACTGGGGTGTGTTGTCGTCGACATCTGATGCTCCAAACGTGACGAGCTAGCAGGGCTAATATAGTCGCGATACGAAGATCTTGGAAGAGATAGGTATCCATGACAGGACGGCAAGTCTATAATTCCAGATTTGACAGCACATTGACGCGCTTACGAGGTCCTGGGGCTGTACAATTAAAGTTTGCAGTACGGCGACCTCAAAGATACAAATATATCTACGTCGCATATGTCACGGCCGGGACGACCACCAAAAGGGACAAGGTATCAGAACAGTATATGGTACAAGTGTTGTCTATCCCGGTAGTTGCGGAGGTGAGCTAAGTACAGGATCCCAGCCAAGGCGCTATACCTAAATAGGGTAGCTCCTAGTAGTACTATAATATCTACCCCCTTCTAAAAAAAAAATCTTATCTATAAGATAGTCGTATTATTATATAAAACCTTATATAACTTTTACTCTTTTTATTCTACCTTTATACCTTATTCTTATATATTCTTATATCTTCTCTATATAATTCTTTATATACCCTAGTATACTTTATACGTTCTAGTATAGTTTGTTATCTAAATTCTTCTTCTCCTTTTTAGGCTCGCTACTCTCTTATTTATAGAAGTTAATATTATTACGCTTTAATTAGTCTTTATTAGTAGTAGCTATAACCTCTTTATTACTCTTATAAGAGTTATTAGGGATTATTTAATAAGTAGTATCTAGATTACTAGTAGTAGTATATATACTATATAGGTTTTATATAAAAGTAAAGATATATTTATACTTATTATAAAGTTTATTAAAGTATTCTTCTATCTATACTTAATAGTACTTCTATATAAGTTCTTTACTATTATATAGATTAGCTAAGGCGGCGTATACTACTAGTAGATACTTAAAGATAGTAAGATAGTTATCTTAAGCTAATAGGACTTTAGTAGCTATCTTCGTGCTAATATTACTATATTAGGCTAACTAGATAAGGGCGTAGTATTCTTATTTATTAAGAGTCTCCTATACTTTAGCTAGAAGGTTCTTAGGTAATATACTATTATTATATACTTTAATTATATCTATAATTTATATATTAAGAAGCTACTTATACTTACTCTCTTTATATAAGCTATTAAGTAGCTAGTCTATATAGAAGTATATATCTTCTAGTATATTCTTATTATTAGTATTATTAAGAGTATCTATAAAAGCTTTTAAGTTAAAACTATTATTATTAAATAGATTATAGTTAGTCGCCTTTATTAAGAGCGTAAGACCTAAGCTAAATTCTATTATAGATTATAGAGATAAGATCTAATTTAGGCTATAGGTAGGGCTATCGCTTAATATATTATAGAGGAGGAAAGGTAACTTAGGTAATAATATAGTCTTATTAGCGTTGGCCTACTAGTTACTCTAAGTATTAGTATCAGCTTCTATATTATTCTAGGTATTAGTATTATCCTACTTATTACCCTAAGTATTAGCGTTATTATTATTACTATTCTTATTCTTATTAGCCTACGTATTACCCTATATAGTATTAGCTTCTTTATTACTAGTAATAGCGCTTAACTTAGTAAAGATATTTAAGTTAGATTTAATCTCTTTTATACGCGCAATAATCTCTAGATTAACTATATTATAGTCTACTTCTATATAGAGAATATTAGTAACTATAGATATCTTTATATATACTTATACTTTACCTTCTTTATCTAAGCCTATAGCTTTTATAGTAGTTTAGTATAGTACTATATCTTAGATCTCTATAAGTTCTAAAAGTCTAATCTACTTTTACTTATTTATATAATAGATAATCTATATTAAAGGGTAGAACTACTTAATATTTAAGTTAGGGATAGTATATTTAGTAGTTAGTCTAACTAGCTAGTATAAGGTGCGAGCCTACGTAGTAGTAATAATAGTTCTCCTAAATTTAAATAGGTATCTAATAGCTTCTATAGTATTAACTATAATAGATATATAATTCTTATTTATAAATAAGTTAATTATTATAATCTTAATATCTAGTAGCTTCTTTATAAGTATACTCTTATAAGTTATATACGCTATTATTATTATATAGTTTTATTAGCGTTATAGTATTATTACTTACGCGTTATATAGAGTAATAATAATATAGTCTTCGCTATCTATATATATTATATAGTTAATTATATTCTAGATTATAACTATAGTAGTCTCTCTATAGTATATAGAGCGATTAGTATCTTACTATATTATAATACTTTTAGTATTAAGGAAGATTAGATTAGATTTAATACCCTAGATCTTCTTATTAATCTTAGTATACTTCTCTAATAGTTCTATATTAAATACTCTCTATACTAGTTTTATATCTAGTATATTGTTAATATAAGTATAGAGTTAGAATAAAGCTTTATTATAGAAATAGAATAATACTTCTAGTTAACTTATAATACTATCTATTACTTAGATATATATAATAATAGAAATAGTAAGAAGTTTAGAGAATAGATTCTATTTTTTATCTCTAAAGGTAGTAGGATAGAGCTAATTCACTATACTACTAATTAGGCGTAGACTTATGTACTAGCAATAAGAGAAGAGGCTAATAGTCTTAACGTTATTAGCGTGTCTAGCTTTCTCTAGCGCGATTACGTATATATAACGCTTTATATTAAATAATATCTATATTATAACTAAGACTATAATATAAATTATATTAGTACGTTTAAGAAGAATATTTAGGCCTATCTTTACTACTATAGTAATCTTATTCTTAATCTTCTTACTTAACTTATCTTTCTTATTACTTAGTTCTAAATATACGTTAAGGAGAGGCTTTAACTCTATAGCCTATACTCTATGCTCTTTATCTAAGAAGACGTTAAGTAGCTCTTATAATATATTAAATATAGGAAATTATATAAGTTCTAGAATATACTAAGCTACTAACCTTTTAATATACTTAAAACGTTAGTCTATAATATCTAAGTATCCTCTATAGAAGGCTACTAAGTAGTTAGATAGTAAGCTATTTAGTAGGTTCTCTATAATCTTAACTAATAGATTAATAGCTACGCAGGATACTTCTATAGCTAGATTATAGTTTAGATAAGATATTACTATAACTACTTTAAGCTTAGATTCTTTACTATATAGACGTAATACTAGAGAGGTTAGTAATTCTATTTATTAGTAGTATATCTTTACTATAGCTAATATAAGTATATATTATAAGTTAATAGTATTATTTTATAGAGCTATAATTATAATTCAGCCTTATTTAATAATAATATTTTATAGCGCTTTAGAGAGTACTATATTATCTCTAGCTACCTTATATTAATTAATAGCTTTCTAGATCTCTAGATCTTACTTCTTCTTCTTAATCTTATCTTTTACTACTATCTTTATTATATTAGTAGTAATCTATTTTATATTGGTAGTAGGCTTTATAGCTTTCTTCTCTTTCTATATCTTCTTCTTAGCTTTAGAGATAGCTTACTTTTAGAAGTATACTTTTTATTTATAGCTTAAGATATTAATAAGCTTCTCTAGTATCTCTATATTACTAAGGTATATGTTACAAGTAACAGCAGGAAGGATCCTCTCCCTGGGCCTGACAAAGAGTAGTTGGGAGGCCACTCGGGATTCCAACGAACAGGATGACTATCGCGGGGCTTGGAGTCACGTGACGTGCCATCCCGCCAAGACTGAACATCCCG